AATTACACGTTTTATAAATCCCAAAAATGGGCCGAAATTCGGGATGTCACAATTACTCCACCATTAAGAAAGAAATTCTTGCTATTGTTTTATCTATATCCAAATTTCAAGGAGATCTTTAGAACCAAAAGTTTTTATTAAGAATTCATTATAAATCTGCCAAAGATGTTTTGCAAAAGTATGTCTAGAATAGTGCTTCCAAACAAATTTTTGCCAAATGACAAGCTATTTTATCTATTTTTGATTTTGATATTGAATTTATAAATGGTGCTTCAAATTCTTTATCATATTTTCTTACAAAAGAATTTTTAAATGGAAAATGCCTCCTCCCAACAAACCTACCTGCCGAGACAAAGGCAAAGAAATTGTCGAAATCTCACAGAAAAACCAAGTGGCCTAACCAATGTTAGGATTTGGCTTCAAGCTGTCCAAACCATCTTTGAATACTACAATTTCCAACCAGGTTAAAGAAGAACCTATCTCCCCATCCACTCCCTTCGATATTTCTAAAATATCTCATGAAGAAGCCCTAAAACTTCTCCAACAGCTATAGTGAAGACTGATTCTTCTTCCAACCAAAAGGTACCAGGAAAAAGAATTTCTAGTGAGGTGGTTATTCAGCCAATCAAGGCAACCTCTCTAAAATCAAAATTTTTTGCCAAAACAATATTTCAAAATATATTGAATGTTCAAAATGGGTTTTACCATGAAGACCCAAACATATTTGCAAAAAGTATGTTTTCTGACAAATTTAACTATACTCCGCATGACCCATACAAAATAGTGGAGTTTTATGAAAACATATTGATAGAATTCAAATCTGTAACTTTCAAACATTTCTCTGATAAAGGTTACATAAATTACTTTACAGCAATAATCCATAAGGTCATCCACCCTTCCCAATGGAAACCATACCCTATAACTTTGATAAAATTTGATACCAAGATAACTGAACCCTTACCATACAAATCCTCTTATTCTGATTTTAATTACCAACAAGCTTGGTGGAATACCTTTTGGAGAAAGAATGCCAACTCTCATACTTGGCTATTCTTCTTTGAAAATTTCGATATTCAACAATGGTGGGACCATTTTGGACCCATTGACGAAATACTTCACCTCAAAGTTCACACCCCTTCAATATGAGATGAAATTTCCTAAACTGATGCTTTTTCTATTATTTCGGAGTATCATGAGTATTGGGCCAGAATTTTGATTACAGAAAAGCCATAGAGACGGGCATTCCCATCTTAATCAGAAAATTCAAGGTTAGGTGATGGGACGGTTTCAAATTTTTCGAAAGTCACTAAGCAAGTAGTCAGAGAATGGCTGAACAAAAAAATTACTCCAAGTCCGAGCCAAATTACTTGCTCAGATGATCACTCCTTTCATTCATGATAAAGGGATTGTTCTTTCCAAACTAGCATCTGCCAAGTCAAATCAGCAACTAGCAGATATGCTGAAACAAGCCCTTTCTCATTGAGAAGAATCAAGCTCAACTCACTCTCATCACAGCGGAAATTCAAATGAAAACGATTGCTATGGCATACCAGGTATCCAATGGGGAGATGTGAATGATGAAGAGGAAGAAAACCCTTCGAAATCTTTGTCTAGATTTTGAAAAGATGCAAAATTTGCCTACTTTCACAATTAGATGCCGGAATCCTGCCAAAATTTGAATTGTCAAAAAGGAATCGAAAGATGTTCCAACTTTTCATCATTGTCTGCCATCATCACTGTAACACTGTACACTTTTGACTTTTTAACTTTTACTATTCACTACGGTAAATGACCCATGAACCTTTCTACAGTCACTAAAGGAGTCTTTAAAAGGACCCCCTTTCATCAAAAGAGGGCATCGTCCACTCTACAACTCCACTTTCATATGCTTTAGAATCCCTTCTTCACTTCTAAGGGAGAAACAGAGAGCTTTAGATTTCCACATCTTATATCGTGGTCTTACTTGTCCCTGATCCCTTCCTGGAATCCCATCCAGTAAGTTCTATATCCACTTTTATCCCTGTAACATCTTTATAATCCAGATCTCACTCGTGATTTAAGGTTACAAAGATTTTCATTTCATTTCAAATTGCACTTGTATTTTCAATTTCTTTCCATACTGCAACTTTCAATTCGGTGTAATTTAATTTCTGAAATTTCAATACAAGCTCATACCACCTATATGGTTGGTTTTCTTTAATTAGCTTAATCTTTAATTAATTGCAATTTATATTACATTAATTTAAATATCGCATACCCCATAATCAGTAGGTCTCACCGCCTGTGGTTTGTTTGCTCATTTTTTAATTTTGACGCAATTTTCTGTGTTTATTATATATCCTTATTTCTTCTTACCGTTTTACTATTTTATCTTAATGCTCGCTCTTTTATTTAGTTTTATTTTATTCGTAGCCATAGATCCTTTTTATTTAGATATCAAAACTATTAATAATTTGTTTGATTTTATTGATAATTTAATACAAATCATAGAACTTTATCAGACCTCTTGTTCTAATTCATATTCGTCCACTCTCTTCAAAAGAAGACGCAAAGATTATTAGAATACTACCAATATCATTCTTTCACTAACTTATAATCCCCAGATCCTAGGACACTTATGGTATTCTCTAGTTTGTCCAAACTAGCATATGTCCAACAATTTTCTACCAAGGTGACCAATATATATATATCATAAGTTGGCCAAGGATCTGGGGATTATAAAGAGAAGAAATTAATAGAAGAGTAAAAGGACTTTATAAATGATTTTGAATCTATACTCAATATAGAGTATGTAATCTATATATTGAGAAATTCTTATGTATATATCAAATGAGTCTCTTGATCTTGCTATAGAAAAAATAAATTCTATTATAAAAGTGATTAGCTCTACACAAAAGACTATGATATAAATAAAATTAAATAAAAAAGCGAGCATTATAATTTATATAGAGACCATAAGTAACATATAGAATTAGAAGCAAGATTACTAAACCAACCATGTAGGTGGTTAAGATAAGCAGAAATGAATGCAGTAAATTGCCTTATAGTAAAAGACAGACCAACCACAGGCGATTCAATCAGCCAATTGTGGGGTATGTAAATTACAATTAAGTAAAGATTACTGGTATATAAACAGTATTGAAAGATTATAACTGAACTGCAAATATAAAAGGTACAAGTGTGAAAGTAAATAAAAGCCTTTGTATTTTCAGATCATGAGCAAGACCTGAAACATAAGGTGATTCAGGGATGTTAGGGAATCTTAAGGAAGTAATGAGACTTACTGGTTATGGAAAACTAGAAAGGTTGAAGGGTTTCTTGAGATTTATGATCTCTTATTCTTCAAATAAGGACCGAAGAATCTGAGAAAACTCGAGAGGGTTTTTGAGATATATGGAATTCTGAGTGAAGAATTGTGTGTCCTTCACTAAAGGATAGGATCTAAATATATAGACTGACTGGCTAGTATATGAAAAGGGTTCACAAGTGGTACTGTAGCGAATAGTAGTAAGTGCACAGTGTTACAGTGAATAGAAGCAATTATGAAAGTTTATAAAAAAGAGAGAAAGAGGACTGACAGAGAAGACTGACGGACTCCTTTCGGTCCTGAACCAATTTATGAAAGATGGACTGGGCAGGAATCTTTCGACGCCTTTTGTCTTTCAAAATCTGGAGAGATCTTCCAATGGCTCTCCTTCTTCTTCATCCTTTACATCCCCCATGGAATGGCTGGTATGCCTAGGACGCCATAATAGTCATCCTCATTGGAATTTCCGCTATGATGAGAATGAAAAGAACCCGAATCTTTAATTTGAGAAAGGGCTTGTTTTAACATTCCTGCTAACTGCTGATGAGATCTAGCAGATACTAGCTTTGACAAGACAAACACTTTATCATGTAGAAATGGAGTGATCATCGGAATTTAAAGGAACGGGTCCTCTAGAAATAAACCATTGGGTAACGGCTTGTTCAGTAACTCTATCAAAGAACTTGAAGCCATTCCACCATTTGACTTTGAAACGTTTTATTAAAATGGGAATGCCTATGTCAATGGACTTGCGGTAATCAAAATGCCAGCCTAGTACCCATGATATCCCGAAGTGGTAGAAAAATAGCATCAGTTTGGGAAAATTATTTTACTAGACAGTCCAGTAATTCATCATACCCAGGCAGCATCATCCTATTTGCCAAATGTAGTATTGCATTACAGTGTCATCATGACTATACCATCTAAAGATATAACCCACCATTAACCATAAATGACGTCATTACATACTACCAGTTTTCCTTTTTTATCGTCGTCATTATTTTTGAAGATCAGTTTCTCTTGCATAGCAAGAGGAAGATACCATTAATACGATAGCCCATATCCACAGGTCACAAACCTCAAAAGCAGGAGCAATCACACCTCTTCCCTTGAAAATATTTCCAGGACACTTCAAAGCTATGTCCTCGGAAACAAATCCAGTTCCATCAGTATGTATAAGTGGCTTTCCGTTCTTATCATAGATGCAATTTCCCTCTTTATCCTGCTATTAGACAGGAAATTGACCATACTAAGCATTGGAGCGAACTAAAAGAATACCTTTAGATGACACCAAGTTTTCATTCACGAAATAATCAAAAGATAACACCTTGCAATCCTTATCCTTAATTCTCTCAATCGTCACTCGATTCCAGTCAACTTCCAAGCTAACGGTGTTGGACAAGACAAGAGACAACCTGTTTATTAGCAGATGCACGTCATTAGGATATAATATAGTTCATGCAAAGTTCAGATGAAAATCTTCTACAGCAACGAACTGTCTCATGTAGCGGGATATGCTGGACACTGTATGTAACGGTCTTGTGTGAAGCTATATTTTCCATTTCAACATTAAATAACAGTGGAGAGCTGTCAACAATTTATACATTAGCCAAATACAAGCCATAACACAATATCATGACCGATTTTTCTGATTCCTTTTATCATGGTTGTCTTATTTGATGATACAAATTGCTCACAAATTCACATCTTCTGATAAACATCATAATAAAAGTTTAGGAACATACAAACAACGAACAAAACCGCACACAAAGAGCACAAGCAATGAAAATTACCGAAGAACTTGTATTGACGCAAACCAACAGGAATCCCTTCCTTTGCAATCTTTCTATACATAGTAAGAGTATCATCCGACATCTCTTCTGCCAACTTGACAAGGAGAACATTCTCATCTCCTAATGCCTTTTGTAGAAGTGTTCTCGTCTTATTAAGGTAAGGTCCCTGAATGCGCACACAGAGTCTTGAGCATCATCATTAAGAAGCTAAAATCATAAGGAATTTGTTCAAAAGTGCCCATAGGGCACTTTCTTAACAACCAAATAAGGAAACTTTGTAATATCCGAATGCATTGCTTTACTTGTAATATGTGTAATCACTGCTTTGATAATTAGAACCTTCTTATGCTTACCAAATGCCCTTGGGCAATTGATACCAGGATCCAAAAAGTCAAACCACATTTCTTTTTGGCACCAGAAGAAGCTGACCGGTGAAATAAACAGATGGCACAGAAGAAAAAATAAACACATTCTTTATAGCAGTAAAGAACACAACTTCAAAGCACATTGTTCTATTGCATTTTTCCTCTCTAAATGACTCAATCATATCATGATTAATATATCAGATGACCAAGCCAGTGTTAGCCAACTTCGAAGCAGCAAGAGCCAAATACAGAAAACGCAGTGATTAAGATGCGAGTCAGCATTCTGCCAAGGTGCACCAACCAATGCCACTTACAATCTTTTCAATTAACAGATCACCCATTTGCTAAATTAAACTCAAATTTATTCTATGTATTTTACGCATGCTGATAACTACAATATACAGGGTGAGTGCGAAAAGAGGAAAAAGAGACTAAGTGATGCACTAATCCCACTCTCTGGAAAAATCATTTCCACAACTTAGTTGGGAAGAAAGAGCCATTGCTGATATAACCCAAGAGTCAGAATTCAAGGCTTACAGTATACGTTCAAGAGAAAAGCCAAGAAACTTACTTTAAAATGATAACACCCCTGAGGTGAAACGTGACAACGGTAGAAGTGTGTCCTTCCAGAATCCCAGTCAACATGCTGAAAGCAGCAACAACACAAACACCGAAAAAGTTTCAGGTGACACATTAATCAGAATTATTAAGAATATTAGGATAGATAACTAGAATAATCTTCAAAAAGTTTGGATATTTTATCCCTTTCCACTTCAAAATAAAATAAAATTAGCACATACACAATTTGTTCCAGAACCATGTATTCCTAAGCTCAAGTATCTCTAACTACCACCGTTAATACCTAACATTGCTTAGTTCAGAATTAAGTTTTGTACATTAAACATAAAATTTAGCACCAATTAGTCCAAGAGATCAGTTTCAACTAAGATGTCATCATGTTTATTCTACAGGCACCTAGAATGAGAGATGTAATGGAATTAATGAAATTTTTTATTATTTGTTTTGATATTGGCATTGACAAGTGAAAAGAGGTTAGGCCTTTCATTCTCTTTAAAAATATCTGCAAATTTAACTCGTTTAGTCAAACAAAGAAATCCAAATATGAAAAAGGATGAAGTAAATGGCTGACTTCTTCACTATTCTAACATATTATATATATGAGGAGCTTGTGGAGACAACAAAAAAGGGACTCTATTACAAGAAAAGTGGACAAACTGCCATGAGAGCTGACATAGAGAGACAATACACAGCTAGAGAGTGTCCACACCACATCCATGCATGACAGCAAAAAAAACTTTGAATAGTGATGAAAGTGATTCTTCTAATTGTTAAATGCCACATACTACGCAACCCATTATGCATTAGTGATAAGTTCAACAACCACAATTCTCACGAAAAAGCTTCATCCTTGCCAAACAAGCACCGTGGCTTATCATTCTTGTCCAATTATTTTAGATTTTCAAAAGAAATTACAAAATGGATCACATTCATTTAACACTTTTTTTATAAAAGAAAATCCTAGTGACATGCAAATGCTAATGTCAAGCACTCTTTTGTCCTTAAGGTGATGCGAGCAGTGTGATGCGCTAAACATCTAAATTAGAAACATTATGAATCGTATTGCTCAATTTAATATGAGAGAGAACAAACCACAAAATCCAACAAACCTTAAGCTCTATTGGTACTGTTCACCTAAAGTTATTTATATGGGGTATAATCATCCCAACCGAGCAGCATTGCCATCATGTTCCCAAATCAAATGATAAAAAAAATTCCTATTACCACATTCCAACACATAAGGATCGTTGCATTAAGAGATTATATGTCCATGCAAACTCAAACTAACCACTCTTTCCTCATTCATTTCTAAACTAACAATTAATTATACACATCAGAACACAGGTTTTTACTTCCCATCATCCATTGCAAGATGTTAGAGACAATATAATGGAATACTACACAAACCATCATTAATTCCCTCATGATACGTGATCTACAATACTCATCCTGTTTTACAGTAAATTTGCAATGAAACACTTGTATGAACATTTCTAGCATTGTATAGTAATAATAAGCACACTTCCATATTTACATATAATATGTATAGATACATTCTCTCTCTCTCTCTCTCTCTCTCTCTCTCTCTCGAAGGCGCGCATGCACGCGCATTTGTGTATTTTGGCCATTATTTTCTCAAATATTTATAATATCTATCAGACAAGAGTCTTTTGATTTAGGACATTTTACCAAATCATCTGGCAAGCATATCATGCTCAAATTAAATATATTATAATGGCCAATGCCTCTCGTATCACTTTCCTAAATAATACCATTCCACGTTTCCAATTTTAATCCACATATCAAAATGATCCATGCTCCAAGTCACTTCATAACAATCTGCCTCCCAACAATTGAGGGACAATTTCCGAAATGAAAAGAAGGGACTAGTTTTGGAAACAATGGACAAATGAAATCGCTTCCTAATGGTTACCAGACAACGGTCATCTTTCTCGACATGAGACTGTCCAATGGCATTCCAGACTGCTGCCTCAAATTCAAACATTCTGAGATCTTTCAGCTGTCGAATCCTATCACTGTCTATGGCATCTTCAAGATTTCCTCTGCATAACATAGCAACCCAATACTCTAGATATGCAGAGCTGACAACATTCAGACAGAGCAACTGAGAAGAGAACTTACTCCCCAATGTAGTTTAGAATGAGAAATGTTTTTCTAAACTCCAGTTCGCTCAACGCCTTCATCTGGGGGCTTACTGCTTGTCCATTCCAATTTTGCAAACTCGGAAGAAGTCTCGGACTTCCAATCTGTTGATCTCGCACAGGAGAGCTTGCAAATCCATTGTCTAGCAGAAGAATACCCAGCTCAAATTTTGTGTACAAACTTTGAACAAACTATCTTGCCGGACAAATAGCGCCAGAAGATGAAAAGAAGATGCAGTCTTGAGCATTATTCTTTTTTTTCAATTTCCAAACAAAAACACAAGTAACCAGAGGCCATTTTATACGATTCAGTCACTCTCACCACAAAAACAGGACAATGAACATAAAACAAGGAAAACCACCGTATCAGTAGATTCTTTTACGCATACATTGAGCATACTTTGAACAATCCATGTTCATCATTATACACAGGAAGACAAAACATGACATGTAGGAAGCAAGTTTTCCATTTCCCAACAATAAACACCGGCAAACAAAGGCGATAGTACAACAAAAACATATAGTTTTTTTTTTGGTAAGGACAACAAAAACATATAGTTCAGTCGCTCTCATCACAAAAATAGAAAAAAAACTACCATATAAAAACGAGAGGCTGCGTCACCTCATGCAACACTTATGTCTTTGCTCACCAGTCACTATCGTCCCTCCGAACATGTCAATCCTCCAAAACGAATCAAATCGGATAATCTAAACAAGATGTTGACACCGCAAATGGTGATAACAAGTTGTTATTAACAACGCAACTTCCAAATTTGCGATGATTGACCGTCTCATATTGCTCTAATTTCTCCGAATTAAAGGCACAAAAATCACCAGCACGACCTCCGCACAACAAAAAAAATAAAAAATAAAAAGAACGAAAGCTCCACGAAAAAGAACATCACTGACGGGCCGGACTTTGATCATTCAAGGACATGCGAGCGATCTTCGACGGAGACGGCGAGGCACAAGAGCCGGCGCCGGCGCCGGTGCCGCTTTCGATGATGCGGGAGATCAAGCCGTCGATGGACCACTTGATTTTCGTCGCGGCTGTCGACCTCAGGACCCGAAGCGCGGCCTCTTCGTCGAGCGACGCGAGCTTCCTCCGAGTCGACGCGTTCGGGGGAGGCTGGTTCTGATCAGTGCAGATTCGGCGTATCGCGTCCTCGACGGAAAGAGGAAGCGGCACCATCTGCGAAGGCGAAGCGTTCATGGCGGTCGACGAGTGTGTCTCAGAGAGAGAGAGTGAGTGAGAGGTTTCTGAGCTTGATCGATCGCGACGGAGAGACGGTGTTCGAATTTTCCGGGGAAAATCTGAAATCAAAATGGAGAATGTCGACACCTCCTTTCCATTTTCTCGTTCTCTTTTTGGGGCTTGGGTACGGAGAAAGCGCAGAGTGTAGCGTGAAACTGGGGAAATGCTGCAACGTTGCCGGTCGGGTCGAGTCACGTCAAAGGTCCTTGTCTGAAACCAGGAGCAGATAATTGCACTTGTCCGTTTTCGCTCGGAAAGCAAAAACTTTTGCACTGATTTTCATTTCAAAAGTTCAGAACAGCCCCCAAAATTCAAAATTACGAAAAAAATTTAATATGAATTTTTCGTGCCGAAATTGACATATCATAAAAGTTCCAAGTGTTTCGATTTATGAAGAAATCAAACCATATCTGCCGCAAGATTTAGATTAAAGCTCCATTTATTTAACGAAAACTGCGAAATTTTTTTCTAGAGAATGATAATATTTTTCTGTTATTTGAAACTTGAAAATAAAATGAAAAATATTTTTTTGTTATTTGGTAAGGAAATCAAAATTCCTTAAATAGACATACATTATTCAAACTTTAGTAATTTTCACATTGACAGCGGGTAACAGGGTACGAGTACTAGGATCCCAGGTCCAACCTCGATGGACCCCAACCTAGGCGCAGGGGACCGATGCACGGGCTCTAGGGTCTCGAGGCGCCGGTGTCAGGGAACTAGGCTCAGGCACTGAGGTCTTGGGGCCAACCTTGATAGACACAAGCCCAACCTCGATGAACCTAGGCGTGGGCCCGAGCACTAGGGTCTCGAGCACAAGCACCAAGATCCTTGGCTCGGAATCAATGAACATGAGTATAGACACCGAGGTCCCGGGCCCGAGTGCCAAGGCCTGGGCTCGGCCTCAATGGACATTGGCCAGGGTGCCGGGGACCTAGGCACTAGCACCGGAGTGACGATCCCAGCCTTGATGGACTCAGGCTCGAGATCTGGTCCCTAGTGTGAGGTCTCGAGCCCAAGCGCTACAGACCTAAGCCCGACCTCAATGGACTCGAGCCCGGGTGTTAGAGATCCGAGCATGAGCACTGGGTTCACGAGTCCGATCTTTGTGGAGCCAGGCTGGGGTTTCGAGGAGTTGGGCAATGGTACTGGAGTCCTAGGCCCGGCCATGGGCGCTGGTATCCCGAGCCCAACTTCTATGGACTCGGCATCTTTGGACCTGGGCTTGGCCTTGATGGATCCCAACGAACCCTGCCCCTGCTCGAAGCCGATGCCAAGGGCCCAAGAACAAGCGTTGGGGTTTTCATGCCCAAACGTAGGGTTTCTAGTTCAAGCATCGATATCTAATCATATTTTGGAAAACATTTTCTGTTGACTCATTTTTCTAAACGATTTAAACGCCAAAATTTTTTTTTTGAAAAATGTATTCTGCAAAATAAACGGAGCCTGAGCGAAAAGTTAAAAACAAAATCTATCTGGGCAAACCAAATTATGCAATAGCTCTTCTTGCTTTGGAAAAGTAATTATGCAATTTACAATACCTATTTATTAAGTAGCAACCGAACTATTTATCGATAACCCCTTCTTCTCTCACTTCTTCGGAAGCATAAATATTGTCCCAACACTAAAATAAGTTTTTAACATATACTTTTAAATATATATATATATATAGCCGCCGTCATCCTATTCTCGGAGGCTATACCGAATGAATTTAACAAAAAATAAAAGTGGGCAAGCCACAAATTCATAATAGAATTAAATAAAAATCACATTAAAGATCCCACTCAAGTGTCGAAGTCGATTGTGTTCTTAATCATCATCTTGCGTACGTACCTTGTTAAATTTTGGTAGCATCATTCTCACTTGTTTTTTCACCTAATCAAATTCAATCATCCAAGAAATTTTCACGAGAAAAAGAAGCTCCATCTCTCTTAAGAGAGAGGTGGGTGTACTATGGCTGGTTCAACACACCCCACGGCTCCCGCACGAATGGAATCGAAATTACGATGTCTCATGTGAGAGCAAAAATAATTTATAAGCACGATCACGGCACGTGATATTAACAATCAATCCCAAAAATTTCTACGAAGAAGAGAGATAGTTTGTTTGTACCGTTTCACAAAAGCACCGTCGCTTACTTTTCTAAACTTCCATCGATACTTGTTTTATGTCAATTTCATATACAAAAAACTAGTAAAAAAGATTACATGCGATTTTTTCGAAGAAATTCTGAGTGCGCTGCGTTAAACAAAAACTAAAATGTGAAAACTGCAAAATTAGGATAATAAGAGCGAAAACCTAAAAGATTTTCGAATGAAAGTCCTGGGATTTCTCGAAAAGGGGATTTCTAAGGTACAATACTGTCTTAAAAGGGCTCGAAAAAAGAGACAAAAGCTAGGAACGGAAAGAGGACAATAGAAAGGGAGAGGGGGCAAAAAGGAAAAGCACAGGTAATCCTCTACTTTAACCAAGCACTATTGCACTCATCAATTACCTGCTACCCTATTTGATTTTCCCCCCTTTTCTGGCCAATAATCAATTAATTACTTTCCCTTGAAAAAAAAAAAATAAAGATTACTTCTCTTAGAAGCATGCATACTCCCGAGAGAAGTTTTGTTTTTGGAAAGCGACGTAAATGGTCTCTGAACTATAGCTAAATACGCAACGCAATCTTTGCATATCTAATACATTTTTAATTTAATCTCTTGGCTATATATAAATATTCAATATTTTCTCGGAACTTAAAGTGACGGAAGAATGACATTGGATATTTTTATATACTATGAACTAGATTGAATATTATAAAAAATTCAGGGACAACGTTGTGCATAAGTTCATGGACCACATTAAACAAATTAAAGGTTTTGGGACAACATTATATATTGAGCCTAAGTTCATGAACCATTTGTGTAATTCGCAAACCTTAATTTCAAGCTAAATTACTCAGTTCAAAGTTAATCATAGTACTTCCTATAAGGTAAATAACATCGTCTTAAGAGATGTTTACTCCTTCTAACAATATTGTAATTTTGCAATAAAAGTCATACTTTGTAGTTCTTGTAATTAGTGGATATAACCCGAACAATTGTAATTTGACCAATCTTGTCATAATCTAGATTGCACGTCCAATAATTAATTTCCCTTTTCATGTAGTAATTTAGTTATTAGAGTTCATAACACGAGTCAATCTCCTTGAACTAGTAATTTGTCTTAGATTATCGTAAGAGACAGGACTTATCATTGCTAATTGACGATCAATAATCGTCAATTACCTTACATTTCGCAACTTCTGAATATTGTCACTAGTAATTATCCATAATGTTGTAATTTTCCTGAGATGATCAAAGACTCCGAAATACAACGGGGTTGTAAATGACATAGCCTTCCGGATAGAAAATGATGACAGTCGGTACCGGTAGTTCAGTATGGCCTATCGAGGTTGAGTTCCGGGGTTTGGTTTTTGCCATACCCACATAGGAATGCTATGTCTCCTTTTGTAGTTTGTAGTACCGGACGGCCAGACATTGGACGGGACTATCCAAATTATCTACGAGAAATGCATAGAGAGATTCCTTCCATCTAGTTTTTGGGCCAGGCCAAGTCCCTCGAGCTTAGCCCAAAATTTGAAGGTATATTTTTTGTTGCAAGAGATATATTAAACTATTGCTGATGTAAAAAGAGATGCAAGAGAATATTTTTCTTCTCTACATCAGAGCATTTTTATAATTTAAAGCTTAATTTGTTTTATTAATCAAAAGTTGGAATCAGAGAGAAAGATTTCCAAGAGCCCAAAAGATTTTATAGGACTATTGTCAACTATCTTAAAAGCTTAAACTTATAGATGTATAGCATATAAACTCGTACTCATATAGAGCATATAAACTCGTACTCATGTGATGTGGGATACTAAGACACACACTTACATGTATGCCGGATTAGGAAGGACACGTGAAATTCCACGAATGGGGCCGGGCCACACACATGAAATAAGCTGGGTAGAACTTGGCTCCAATACAATGTTAGATTTGGTGGGACTACTGCCGAGCTTTTATGTTGGACTTTCTAACGTGGCATCTTGTCCATCCTCTTCCTTCTACAATCATGCAGAACCAATGCACCAGCTTACATCGATCCTCTTCCGATAGCTATGGCTAGGAATATGTCCATAACGCTTACTGGTATTAGTGTCCTCTGCTGATCGGTAGGGTTGCCAAGCAAAGGCTA